CTTTCTTCCTCCAGTCAGCTTCTTCAGAGATCTGCTGCCTTCTTGGGTCCTCAGCACAATATTCTTTTTCACGTGCTGTGCAATACATTCCAAGGCCCACGCTCATCATCTCAGTTTGCTCATCCTTCCAAGAGCAGTCATCTGCAGACCCTGTGGTCGCCAACAAGCAAGTCCTGTGGACCCTCCTCTCCGTCTGGACACCAGGGGAAGGGCTGTGCTCACTTCCAGCCCAAAGCAGACGTTTCTGTAGTGCAGATCCGCTGGACTTTAATGGGATCTTCTACCCTTAGTGTCTCCAGATACTCCAAGTAAAATCTTCAAAACACAAAAAACAAAACAACAAGCTTCTCCAGTAAGGACTGCCAGCGGGATGTTTTTAATCCCCACACGTGTCTTTGAAGCTTATTTTTGGCAAAATTATATTTAGGCATTTATCTGCCTCTGGGTGTTTCCTGGCGTTGGGGTCTCTAAGGGGATGGGAGGAAGGAGGTGCTGATGGAGGCGGGCCAGGTGGGCTCTGCTTGTCAAGCAAATGGCAGCATCCACTGAAGGGAGACACAGCTCCTCAGGAGGCAGACAGCCTGTGTCCAAGATGCGGGCCTTCACTGGGAGGCCCTCAGTTCCTAGGCTTCCTTTCCAGTCAGGTCCAACGATCTCCTTCTAGGAGAACTTGCTCCTAGGTCAATGGAACAGTCTTCGGTGGCCATGTTTTGTCCCTTCTGTGTCTTCCTGAGCCTCTAGTGGGATTTGGAAGACTAATAAGGCCTTAAGCTTATGCCATCTTATTCTGGAGGTCCCCAAACATTTGGTTTTCAAGTTGTACTTTAGTATGTCGCATACAGTGAACATTTATACATGAGCCAGGACTAGACTCCTCTCCTGTCTCCAGTTTAGGTCAAATGGAATTTCACAGATAAGGACTTGGGGGGACGTCTAGAGGAGGGGAGAGGGGAAACCAGTCTCTGGTTTCCAGAATTGAAATCTCCACATCCCATTATGTAATGTGGTATTCTGATATGACTCTGCTCTGTATTAACAAAAGCTACGCTGCCACCTGACTCAATCACCACACCTGCATTCCTTCCTTCACCACTGGCTGAGCGCCTACTGTGTTCGAGGCAAGTACAAAGCCCTGGGACACAATGGTGGGAAAAGACACGTCTCTGTCCTCCAGGGCTTCCAGTCCAGTGAAGGAGGCAGAGCACGCCCACCACACACCACCACACGGATGTTTAGACAGAGGCGACAACTGCTCTTGAAAGAAAAGGGATTTCTAAATAACAGGGACATGACAAAAAGAGAAAATTAAATTACCGCTGCCCGCCCTTGGAAAAAAACTCTCAGCTGCTGTTTGTGGGAGCATAAGCTTCGTGTTTTCTAGGTGCAGAGCGTGACATGCAGCAAACACGCCGTGTCCAGCCCTGGGAGACTCCCGTGTGGGACGCTTTGCAGAAATTGCATCAACCTAAATCTGCCCTGTGGGGTGAGTTTGAAGGGAAACTCGCAAAGGGAAAGCCAGAAAGTAGCAACACAGCCGGCCTTTTGTGCTGAGCCCTCTTCTTTCTGGGTCTGCTGTCCTAATCTGCTGAGAAATGCTGGATGCTCCTGCTGTTTCACTCACTTTCCAAAGAGGCTGCAGGTGTCACCAACATGAGAGGAGAGCCCCAGGAGGGTGAGGTGTGGGGGCTCACTGCAAAGGTGGGCGCATTGTGGGCAGAGCCCTCTAGGGGAAGAGGCGGAGGGGGATTGCTTGGCCTCTCTGCATTTTGCTTTGTGACTTCACATTTCTTTCACAACACCTGAGCGATAGGACTCTAAGACTGAGGACAGAAACGTTCTGATGACACTGCAAAGTGGAGGCTGCCTGGGCAAGTGACAGAGGCAGAGGCCCTGTCAGACGGCAACATCTGGGGGACAAACATGGAGAACAACGCTCACGGCTTCCGGTCTACATCCCAGCACACGCTGCGTGTCACCACACACACCTGATGCTTTAGCACAAAGAGGCTGCTGTCTGTCTCACGGGCAGGGTTCAGGGTACCAGGCCGGCACTGGGCCCCTCACCCCCCCTCCCCGGACCCCCAGCAAGACTCGCTCACATCACACCTTCCTGTGCTGCACCCCCACCTGGCACCTCACCAGATGCTGATTCAAAACACTGGCCTGCATTTTCTCAACGCATTTGGAAGTCAAGTGGTTTCCAGTTTTGAATCAAAACCAGAGGAGGATGTACTCGAGTTGTCAGGCGATGGACCCCTGAAAGCAATTCTTGATGATGTGTCAGTGCGGCTGGGGCGTAACTCAGGAGCTCGAGGAATTCGCAGGCAAGCTGCAAGAGAACACCTGATTCCCTTGTACTTACTTATGGAGCATTTCAAAGACCTAAGCCCAAGCAGATTACCTCCAGGTAACAAATGAGTCCACGGAAGAAGGAACAAATGCGGTTGTGGAGGTGCTGTGGGTAATACTTGAGAATTCATGGATACGAAACATGGAGGAGGGACGAACACTAACTTTAAATAGAGTGGAATCTGAAAGTTAAAAACCTACAAATAACATCAACCTTTAAATATTCCAGACCAGGGCCGGCCCCGTGGCTTAGCAGTTAAGTGCGCGCGCTCCGATGCTGGCGGCCCGGGTTCAGATCCCAGGCACGCCCCGACGCACCGCTTCTCTGGCCATGCTGAGGCCGCCTCCCACATACAGCAACTAGAAGGATGTGCAACTACAACATACAACTATCTACTGGGGCTTTGGGGGAAAAATAAATAAATAAAATCTTAAATATTCCAAACCAATTATTAAGCAGGCTGCAAGTGAGAACAAGCAGCCAAGACTGATCTGCATGGATCCAGGAAGAACAAGTGCACCCCCTCACCCCTGCTTCGATGTGACTGCAAATCGTGAGTGTGATGAAGATGCAGAAGGAACAGGAACCAGATTCCAGTCATTTGTTTAACAAATATTAAGCATCTACTTACAAACCAAGCACTGCAGTAGGTGCTCTCGGGACTGAAAGACAAACAGGCAGCTACAAGCCTCCGGTCTAGACCAGTCCCTGTTCTCACGGAACTCAGGGAGGGGTGGACAGCCTGCTGACAGGGCAAAGATTCAAAATTACCAACACAGAAACCAGCCAACCACTGGAGAACTTATTCTTTCACAGGGATCTTGACCAACTAGCAAGCATGTATGAGCATGCTAGTGTGCCCTGTGTGTACCACGTGTGTGCACATGGTATGTCTGCATGTGCCTGTGTGCATGCTGCGTGTTCGTGTCTGTGTGTGTGCATGTGCATGCATGTACACGCCCGGGGAACGTCTGGACAGAAGCAGGGCTCTGAGCCTCTGGGGAGGGAGGGGTGTCACCTCACTTTTTACACTATTGCTTCAGTTGTCTTAACAACCAGCAGGTAGGGTTTGGACAGTTTTAAACCATCACGAGTAAGAAAACAGGTGGCTGCCAAGGTACTTGAAGGAGACGGATGGGAGAAGTGAGGGCACGCAGTCTGGAGGGGCCCCGTGGGTGGTCAGTGCGCAGAGCCGTGTAGACCTGCAGCGTCAAGCAGCCCATGGCAGAACTCTCACCACCAGGAAAGGCAATCTGACCCATAACAGGAAATGTCTCTGCTGACAGCATTAGCACAGGCCTGGCTGCCCAGGACAGTGCTCTGCCTGGGACCACGATGTCACGCTGGGGCAGGGGGATGCGGGGACGCAGGGAGACAGGGGGAGGTGCAGGGAGATGCGAGGTACACGGGATGTGTCCCGGGGCATCAGGGGACGGGGGCGGGTGGCCTCCCAGAACCCCTCCAGGTAAAAGACGCTCCACTTGTGGGGTGAAACCTTCTCGTTGCTGGCTAAGTGAAAGCTATGTGTGGCCCAGAGGAATTCTGAAGCCCCCTCTGGACCCTCACTCATCACCGTGCCGGCAAAGGCCTCCTGGGCTTTCCTGGATCTCACCCCAGAATTCTGTGTGTGTGTGTGTGTGTGTGTGTGTGTGTGTGTAAGATCAGCCCTAGGCTGACATCCAATGCCAATCCTCCTCTTTTTGCTGTGTGTGTGTGTGTGTGTGTGTGTGTGT